AAGAAATACATCAATGAAATAATGACGATGTCACTAACAATGGTGTGAAACTACAATCGAGAAAACAACATAAACATGAATCATTTGTTAGTAACTCAGCTTTCATTAATTGAGGCCCTATCTGTTTCTCTGTTTTGTCTGACACTCCTGCCCGTTTTTAGTTATCTTGTCCCCCCCCCCTTATTATTTCTCTCTCTGACTTCTCCCAAGGTGACTTTCAAAAACCTCCAAATGTATTGGCGTTTCCTGCAGCGATGATGATTATTGTGTTTACGTAGAATGAACCTAAACAAGAGCCCTGGACCTGTGTGTTTAGTGGGCTGTGTTAATCCTGTTTTGGGAACATACTGGAGCGGTCAGTGCCAGTGCGTTGCCTTTGCCCAGAAACTGCCACCTGGCAGGGAGGCTTCCTGTCCTGTGCACAGCACAGGAGGACAATGAGCACAGTGACAGATCCCGTGTGTCCTGTTCTGAATACCATACACAGGCTCTTTAGTTCTGCCCGAGGCATTGTTGTGTTCATTTTCTCTTCAAACAGGCTATAATACATACAAAACCCCTCAGTTCCCAATTAAACAGGCAACAAAGGTGGAAATGATGTTGAAAGTGTAGAATCTAGCAGCATCTAGTCTGAATACTTTTTTTTTTTTAGTGCATTAGAGTAGTGATTCCTATGGGGTTACACAGCAAGGTAAATTAATTTATCATCTTTTTTTTGTTTTTGTATTTTTAAGAAGATAGGGAGTAAATCCACTACTACAACGGGGGGGGCGGGGGGTCTGCGTCTGATCTGGGACAACGCTATTTTTTATTATGGTTGATATGTTTATCAGCGATTCACAAAATATATCATATAAACCTCTTAGTTTAGCTGCGTTCTACAAAAATCATTGCTGTTATTGGCTTCATTCTAGGTAAAATATGTTAATTTTAGAACAACAGATTTGTACATTAATATCAGTTAGGACCAAACCTATACCTAACACTTAACTAATGCATAACTAAAATACAATGAATGCACTGTAATGACTATTATATTCAATTTCTGACGGTGGATTATTCTATGTAGTTTTCCACTTGACCATCGAAGCTTCATGAAAGGCAAATCTGACAGACTAGCTGATGTACAGAAGGGGTGCTGCGTTCCCGCTTGGACACTCACAGCTAGGAGCAGTGCCAACAGGAATGTCTCGTCATGCAGCCCATATGCCCTCCTCGCATCACCACCTATACAACATCCTCCGTTGGCTGTTCAAATGTACTACAAGCTGTTCTGCTTAAGTCCCTACCTAATGGCCCGCTTCCCATTTTTTCCCCACGTTGCAGTTCGGTCACATATCAACACAATATGATCTTTAATTTTCTCCCAACTTTTTTTTTTTCTGGCACTCTCACATTTTTCTACTTTTTGAACCTCCTCCTGTCACATTTGTGTCTGTGGGGTGTCTATTTTGTCATACTTTTTTTTTCATATCATATGCAGGGCCGGTCATGCTGTTAAGTAATTTCCGGGCTGGTTATAAAAGCCTCTAGTTTGCTTGCTTCTAAAACATGATGAGATTGTACATCCTCATTTGTTATGGATACTTCTGACCAGGTTCCATGATAACTCCCCCCCCCCCTCTCCCCTCTCTTTTCCCTGACAATACTATCAGCCTCACCACCTTTCCCACCATTCTTATGGGTTGTTATCTGACACCAAACAGACTGAGACACACTGGATGGCCTCTTTGTCTGACTGTTTGTGCATATTTTATCCGCTTGTGTGTATGGGTGCACGCATGTGCAACTTTGTGTGTGCAAAGAGTGCACTGTAGACGTCAAGGACCTGCTGTTGTTTGGCGTCTTGAGTGACATGAGGAGACCGGCTTTGAATGACACGTATTGTTTAGTTTTCCAGGTCACAACATACACCACAGACTTACTTTCATATATATTTTTTTTAATCACCTTACTTTTACACTATATTATCAGTCCACGGTGCAACATGAGTTGCTTGTGTCACAAGACGAAGAGCCAGTTTTACAGTACTATCGGAAAACATGCAGGCCCCTGCAAGAGGACATCTGTGATTCTCAGCAGCACTGCCAACGTCACAGCACACGACAGATTGTTAATGTTATCAGTCCTGTCAGGTTGGGTCTATATTTGTTTCTGATATTGGCCCCGGTGCACAGAAAACTATGGCTGAACTACAGTGGGACGTTGTGTTTACCAAAAATTTGACCAGTTCTGTCTGAACATCCTGAAGCATTTACTGCTCAAAGGTTGTTGTTTTTTTTATATACTGTTTCACTCCCTGAAGCATTTACTGCTCAAAGGTTGTTTTTTTTATACTGTTTCACTCTAGCCTGCACCTAAGAGTTGGCCCCAGGTCTTTCCTAGTGGGATATCACCCCCTGGTGTCTGGTATGCAGGTGTCTAATCTGGCCTGATCCTTTTGTTCTCCATGTTTGGCAATGGTAGAAGCCTCTCACTGGTCTGGGAAGCAGATATGGCATTCCTACAGCCCCCTATAATCCACTGTCGGAAGTTCAGTAGACGAATGTCTGGTGTTGATAAAACATGCTCCCAGTGGAATGTTACCGTACGGTGAAGTGGGATTCTCTGGTTTTGTGGGGAATTAGCAAAACCAAAAGACAAAAATCAAATGAAAATGTTGGATTAAAGTTATGTGATATATATAAAAAAACAAAACAGCTACAAACACCAAATGTTGGATTAAAGTTATGTGATATATAAAAAAAAACACCAATAAAAACTAAAAAGAACAAGTTAACACACACACAGACACACAAACAGACTGAAGGGGGAGAAAAATCACAAGATGCAGCCTGTAGCCAAAACATAGAATCCTAGACATCAGTTGTCTGAACATCTGATGTATCACCAGTGCAGATGAATATCTGAACTCTTCTTTTCAACCCCAGCTGGAGAAGCCTGCTGGGAATAAAATCTACATTAGCGTTTCAGATGAGCTCAGTCGCATGCTGTTATTCAAGAACATGTCCATGCCCAAGGTGATAATGAAATAGAATTGATCACAAAAGTCCCATTAATTATCATAAAAGTTAACGAATGCAAAGTACACACATTACAAAATGTAAATATGATTTATTCGTATTTATGTTTCACATTAGGGCTGTTTTTTTTCCCTGTCATTTCTATGTTACAATTGTACTGTTTTTGTAGACTTTTAGTGAAAGCCAAAGCCATTGTGGATCATTTAACTGGCCGGGCCACCAGATACCAAAAGTAATAAAAATAGTAGAAATGACTAACGAGTGAAAAGCGTATCGTGCATTTAAAAAAAACTACAATAATAAGATGTGCTCCACATTGATTAATACTGAAGCTAACCCTCTGCTTTTTTTTATCACAACCTATTATTTACCCATGTGTCTTCTGCGACTCAAGAAGTCTTGGTACCTGCTGACAAATGACATCGAATTAAGATTCCATGTGCACAACTCCGATTGATTGTTATAAACATTTTCTTTCCTGCAATTTGTCTCTCCCGAAGGTACTTATCCGTGTCATTGACACAAACAACCATCGACCAGAATTCTCACAGCCGGCCTACGTGGTGAACATCCCCGAGGACAAACCAGTGGGGACTGAGGTCATGCAGATCAGTGCGGTGGACAGAGACGAGAAGAACAAACTGACCTTTACGCTCCTGAGCAGCACCGATCCGTTCAGCTTGAGGAAGTTCCGACTGGATCCGGGAACAGGAATCCTCTACACTGCTGAAAGGCTTGACCATGAGACTATACATCGTCACATTCTCACTGTCATGGTATGCGTCAACAAACACGAGCTCATTATGCATTTTTTTTTTTTTAAATGTATGTTTTGTTCATGTTGTGCTGACTCTGCTTGAAAATTTTGCCTCCCTAGGTCAGAGACCAGGACATCCCGGTCAAGAGGAACCTTGTGCGTGTTATTGTCAATGTGGATGACACTAACGACAATGCACCCTGGTTTGTAGGCACGCCGTACTCTGGCCGTGTCTTTGAATCGGCCGCTGTTGGCTCGGCTGTGTTTCAGATCACTGCTCTGGACAAAGACAAGGGTCACAATGCGGAGATTGTCTACAGCATCGAATCGGGTAAAAATGCAGTTCCGCGTTGTTTGAGCCACTGTTTGCCCCCCCCTCCCACCCCTTAACAGCTGAAGACATTCTTTGTAAAAAAAAGAATGCAAATTAAATCAGCTGGTAAAAATGTATGAGTCATCTGGAGTTGTGTTGCCCACTGCATCTTGATCATGAATGAAATACTTGACAAAAAAGAGAGGGCAATGAAAGGCACATGCCCCCTCGGTTTCCCACACTGTTGTCCTACAGACAGCTGTCATATAAGAACAGAAAGAATAGGACGATTAGCTCTATGTATGAACACATTTCTGTTTGAATTTTTTGTTGTTTTGTTCAGAACTCGGCTTGCTTCTTCCTGAAAAATNTTTTTTTTTTTTTCATAACTCGGCTTGCTTCTTCCTGAAAAAAAAAATGTTGCAATCATCTTTGTTTTTTTTGTAAATAATCTTTTTTTTTTTTTTTGTCTTACAGGAAACTTTGCAAACTCATTTGCCATTGATCCCGTTCTGGGAACAATTACAGTAGCCAAGGAACTGGACCGCCGCAGCAAGTCCCTGTTTGAACTGACTGTTAAAGCGAGCGATAATGGAACACCTCCTCTTTCCACTACAGCCACTGTGCACATCGTGGTAACAGTCTCGGATAATGCATCTCCCAGATTCTCTCAACACGAGTTTACCGCAGAAGTCAGTGAATCTGCCCACCTGGGAAGTTTTGTGAGCTTGGTCACAGCTGTTAGTCAGTCTTCTGTTTTCTATCAGATTAAAAGTGGAAACGTCGACAACGCATTTGATGTCAACCCAAACTCAGGAGTGGTTGTGACACAGGCGGCCTTAGACTATGAGACCACCTCTCAGTATTCCCTCATTATACAGGGCACCAACATGGCTGGGGTGGCCAGCAACGCAACACTTCACATTCATCTGAAGGATGAAAACGACAACGCACCAGTTTTTATCCAGAAGGAATTCAAAGGAGTAATCAGCGAGTCTGCTCCAGTCAACAGCGTTGTTCTAACCCATGACCACACTCCCTTCGTTATCCGTGCCTCTGACGCAGACTGCGATCAGAACGCCATGCTCATCTATCAAATTGTCGAACCCTTCGCCCACAACTATTTCGCCATTGACTCAAGCACCGGAGCGATCAGAATCACAACATCTTTGGATTACGAACAGAGGAGTGTCTTTCACTTCACTGTCCAGGTCCACGATCTAGGAGCACCCCGCCTGTTTGCAGAGACGGCAGCCAACGTAACCATTGAAGTCATTGACTTCAACGACTGTCCGCCTGTTTTCAGCCAAGAGGTGTACGAGGCAGCTGTCATAGTACCAACATACAGAGGCGTAGAAGTCATTCAGATCAATGCTACAGATTCAGACTCCAGGTCAAACTCAAAACTTCTGTTCTCCATCTCGGACGGTAATATTGGTGATAAATTCAAGATGGACCCAGTCACAGGCATTATCTCGATTCAGAATGTCACACAACTAAGGAGTCGATATGAATTGAAGGTTCGAGTTTCAGATGGCAGGTTTGCCACGGTCGCCGTAGTGAAGATTAACATAAAAGAAAACAAAGAAAGCAATCTGAAGTTCACGAGGGAGACGTACAGAGCCTTTGTCCAGGAGAATTCCACCGAGAAGAAAACACTGGCGGTCATTGCTGTTATTGGGAACCAGGTGAATGAGCCGTTATTCTTCAGAATTCTGAACCCTGACAGAAGGTTTAAAATCAGCCGCACGTCAGGAGTCATCTCGACTACTGGAATCCCATTTGATCGTGAGACGCAGGACACCTATGACATCATCGTTGAGGTCACTAAAGAGGATAAATATGAAGATGTGGCTCACGTGGTCGTTACGGTGACGGTGGAGGATGTGAATGACAACAAACCCATGTTTGTGAACCTTCCCTATAATGCTCTCGTTCAAATGGACGCGGAAGTAGGCCAGGTCATCAGGCAGGTTACTGCAGTGGATAAGGATACGGGTCCAAACGCAGAAATCCATTACTATCTGAAGGAGCATCACGAGCACTTTGAAATTAGCCCCTCTGGAAGAATTGCTTTAAAAAAGAAATTTGACAAGGAATCACTCAACGCAGACTTTGTCGTCGTCGTCATAGCAGAAGATAATGGCGATGTTCCGCTCTCAGCCGAGGTCGACATTCCAATCACCGTGGTAAACAGAGCCATGCCTATATTCGAGAAGCCATTCTACAGCATTGAAATCCCAGAGAACATCCAGTTACACACTCCTGTGCTTCACGTTCAGGCAAACAACTCGGAGAGTCCCAGGATTGTCTACACCATCACTGAAGGAGATCCGTTCAAGCAGTTCTCTATTGATTTTAACACAGGTGTCATTCATGTGATTCAGCAACTGGACTTTGAGACACATCCTGCCTATAAGCTGAATGTGAGAGCCACAGACTCTCTGACTGGAGCACAGTCGGATGTTTTCGTCGATATCATACTGGAAGATTTGAATGATAACGCGCCCGTGTTCCTCTCCAAAGCCTACTCGGCCAATATCTCTGAGTCCTCCATCATCGGAACATCCGTTTTGCAAGTTGACGCCAAAGATGCTGATACTGGTAACAACCAAGAAGTTTTCTTTCAGCTGGTCGAGGACAAGACCAAAAGCACAGATTATTTTTTCATTGACCGTGACACAGGAATCATTTCTGTAGCGCAAACACTGGATTATGAGGAGTTCAAACAGCACAAACTGATAGTCCGCGTCGTGGATGGAGGCGTTCCGGCCCTGTCCAGTGACGTGATTGTGACAATAGACGTGACTGATCTAAATGACAACGCGCCGGCCTTTACGGAACACACCTACACAACCACCATCAGTGAATTGGCCCCACGTGGACACTTTGTGACCCAGGTCCAAGCATCTGATGCGGACATCTCCGACTCAAATCAGTTGGAATTTTCAATTGTATCGGGGAATGAAGATCAGAACTTTGTCATAGGCAAAAACACAGGCACTATTGTCATGTCCAACCACAAGAGGCCACACATGCTTCCCGTGTACAGCCTCAACGTTTCAGTGACCGACGGTGTTTTCAGAAGCTCGTGTACTGTCGTGGTCACAGTCACTGGTGCAAACTTCCACAACCCTACTTTCTCTCAGACCGAATATGTTGTAGAACTGGCCGAAAACTCACCCGTTGGCACCCTGGTGGCGGAAGCGAAGGCAACAGATGACGATGAAGGCATTTATGGAAATATTACATACCAAATTGTTAATGACCTGGCCAAAGACAAGTTTTCTGTCACCAACAACGGAGAGATTTTTACACTGGAGAGCCTTGACCGTGAGAACAACAATGAAAAGGTGATTCCAATTTCCCTGCTAGCTAAAGACGGGGGTGGGAAAGTAGGGTTCTGTGTTGTCAATGTCATTCTCACCGATGTCAATGACAATGCCCCACAATTCAGAGCAGCTGAATACAGAGCCACCATTTCATCTGATGCCCCGAGGGGTGCCTCTGTTGTTAAAATCGCTGCTTCCGACATGGATGAAGGCATCAATGCTGACATTCAGTACTCAATCGAAGCAGATGTTGAAAGCGTGGAGGAGAACTTTGAAATCCACCCAACCTCAGGGGTCATTGTAACCAAAGAAAGTCTCATTGGCCTTGAAAATGAGCTCCATGCATTCTTTGTACGGGCAAGAGATACGGGCAATCCGTCCAAACATTCACTTGTGCAGGTTTATCTCAGGGTCGTTGCGCCCGAGACCCCAATTCCCAAATTTGCAGAACCACATTACCGTTACACAATTGCCGAAGACCTTCCCATTGGCACGGAAATCGATGTGGTTCAGGTAGATGGTGAGCAGCCAGTCGTCTACAGCCTTGCGAAAGGAAACACTCCAGAGAGCAACGAAGATGAGGTGTTTGTTGTAAACAGAGACACCGGTTCCTTGAAGCTGCAGAAGAGCCTGGACCACGAGACTACCAAATGGTACCAGCTCCTGTTGCTCGCCCAGGCTACGCATGAAAACTATGAGATTGTGGCCTCAGTGATTGTGAACATCCAAGTCAAAGATGTCAACGACAACAAGCCAGTCTTTGAGTCCGACCCGTACGAAGCTGTCATTGTGGAAAACCTTCCGAGTGGGACCAGAGTGATCCAGGTCAAAGCCACTGACCAGGACTCTGGAACAAACGGCCACGTTCTTTACAGCCTCGGCCCTAAGCAGAAGTTACAGGAGATCTCCGAGCTGTTTGCTGTCAACAGTGAGACTGGATGGGTGACCACCCTGAGAGAGCTGGACCGGGAGGTGGTGAATAAATATACCATCGCAGTCCAGGCCACAGACCAAGGGGATAAGGTTCAACACATTGCTGGAACTTTGGTAGAAGTCACGGTGGCTGACGTGAACGATAACCCTCCCCGCTTCAGCGCAGAGATCTACAAAGGCACGGTGAGCGAAGATGACCCTCCCGGTGGTGTGATTGCTATTCTGAGCACCACAGACGATGATTCTGAAGACATCAATAAACAAGTGAATTACTTCATCACAGGTGGGTCTTTATTAACCTTTGAAATGATATTTAGCCCGAAGGGGGTTTCATATCAACCCTTTTCTGCTTCACTTTAAAAAAAAAAACAAATCATACATTTAGTTCTGTTTCCATTTAGTGTTTTGCGCTACTAAATATAGTCATTAAAATAATATTTTTATTTTATTTTTTGAAACATATCCATTTGTATTAACTGCCGGGAAAATAGTCAGGTATTTAGGTCATCATAAAACAGAACTGAATAACTTCTGTTTGTTCAGTTCAGTTTCTGAGGTAAACGCCGAAAATTGCAAATGAGTGTTATTTAAAACAGAAAGTGTGGAAATGAAAAGACCACCGACCGTGTTTATTTGGTTTTTTTTAATTTACTGTTCGGCACTACTTATTTTCCTCTCGCTAGTGTGGAAAAACTGCTTTTGTAAAGAAAAAGAAAAAAAAAACCCCATTAATTTTAGAAAGAATTGCTGAACGCTTTGATGTGTGTCTCTCTGTGTGTGTGCAAATAGACTTTCTCCCTTTTTTGTGTTTTAATCTCTGATCTTTGCGTCCTGCCTCTGAGTTAATGCTCACTCTTAATTGCTACATTTTTTTTTTCTGAATTTCTAATAGGAGGGGACCCACTTGGCCAGTTTGCCATTGAACACATTCAGAATGAATGGAAGGTCTCTGTCAGGAAGCCTTTGGACCGTGAAGAGAAGGATAATTATCTCCTCAACATTACTGCCAGTGATGGTGTCTTCACTGCCAAAGCCACAGTGGAGGTCAAAGTCCTGGATGCCAACGACAACAGCCCAATATGCGAAAAGGTAGTCATTTTCTTCCCCGCTTCAGCAGTTCATTTCCATTCCTGTGCCTATTTTCTTTTTCTATTATTGACTTTTGATAACTATTTCGGTCTAAATTTATGGTCTTAAACTCTGTCCTTTAGTCCCTGTACACTGAAAGCGTCCAAGAAAACTCGGTGGCTGGCAGACTGATCCTGCAGGTCTCTGCCACAGACGCGGATATTCGCTCAAATGCCCACATTTCCTACGAGCTGCAGGGACTAGAATCCGAATTGTTCTTCATTGACTCTGAAACAGGTATGAGATGTTTGATATCATTTTAATTTGTCGTTGTCTCCTCCGTTTATTTGCATAACTGTAGCTCTTCTTTCTGATTACTTATTTGCCCTTAGATTTTGAGAAGGAGTTTTTTTTCTTCATGCCTTCATGCCTACGTCTGTAATATCTGAAAGGCAATTTATCACCACTCTGCTCTTAAGAATTTCAGACAGACATTTTCAAAAGAAAGGCAGCCACAAGAGAGGAAAAATAAATCTTATTATTATTATTATTTTTTTTTTTTTTTTAAACAAGAGAAAGGAAAATTTCCTATGAGGCCGACTAAAAGACCCTCTATGGCTTTAGTAATAATACCACGAAATGCACTTACATTGAATTTATTGGTTCTATTCTCCTCCTGGCGAATAATTTCTTCTGAGAGACGTGTAAATCAAATACTGCAGCAGGATTCTGGGATATACAGAAAAAACAGGAATTAAAAATAACGGCAATTAATCACTATAAACTTACTCTGGAAATAAATCTAAAGTACAGCCATTAAATTGAAAAACAAACAAAGTCAATGGATTTACAGTGATACGGCACATCTGCTGGCACAATATAAAAAAAAAAACCCAAACAAAGGCAGCTTCTGCATTAGTATGCTGAGAAACTGACACCAGGGAAGGCTGTTGGGCCAATAATACCATCCAGCTGTATTTTAGCAACCATCAACCGTATTGAGTTTTAAGCAGCGAGGACACGTTAGTTGAGGATTATATATTTCCCTCTGCAGACAAGTGGGATTATTGCAGATGAGGACCACCAAGGTGGCTTTGGAGTTTTTTCGTGAGAGGCCGCGGTACTGCTGCCTAGCTTCCTTCCACTATCACCGTTTTATCTTTAAAAAACATACACACGTCGCACCAGTCTGTGTCGTTTATTATCTAAACTTATATTTAACCGGGATCGTTTTTCAAGGACACACGCCCCAATATTTATTCGACATCACTGAATCCATTTATCCTTGGTGTCACCTAAAAAACAAATTCTTTTAACAGATGAAGCCCCCTTCTCCTTTGTACCAGTTCAAGTGTTTTTGTTTTGTTTTTTTTTTTTTTTTTTTTTTTTTTTTGCTTCGCAAACCCCCTTTTTTTTTTTTTTTTTTTTGGGAAGTCTTTTTGGATGTAAGGAAGGTTTTGTTCTTTATAGCGTAAGGAAGGCTTCATGGTTTAGTCATGTAATATTTCTGTGGTGTATTAGAAGCAGGAAAGTGCTACTTGTACTAAGGAAAATACGATAGATGAATTGAAAACCGCACGGCCAACTTCTGTCAGTCAAACAAACGCCTATGATGTATCGTGACGCAAATAAAATATTCCTGCTCTGTAACGAGGAGCCGACGCAGTGCTTCATGCGTTTCTTTGTCACCTCTAGGTGAGTTGAAGACCCTACAGGCACTGGACAGAGAAAAGCAAGATGAGCACTGGTTCAAAGTGCGAGCAGTGGATGGAGGCGGGCGTTACTGTGAGGCTGACGTCCGCATCACCATAGAAGACGTCAATGACAACGCGCCACAGTTCACGTCTGACCCGTACACCTTCACAGTGTTTGAGAACACAGAGATGGGCACGTACGTGGCAAAACTACAGGCACATGACATCGACATTGGTGAGACATTTCTTTTTGTCTTTTCTGCAGTGTTCTTCCACCACTATTTCCTTGTCTTTAATATGAAAGAAAAAAAATATATATATATGTATATAAATATATATAAAATATAAATATCTATATATAGGAGGGGAGAGAAAGATATAGGATTTGGTTTGATGAACTCAGGGAAGTTCCAAATTGTTTGAGTATTTGCTTTTTTCTTGTTTGTAGTGTGTAACAGCGGAACTCTGTTTTGTCCACAAGTTTCGAAAACAGTAGATTCTCAGACTAAGCTGTTTCCATTCAGTTTTTGTGCTGAGGCAACAGAAAGTTAATTGTGAGTCAAAAAGTGCCCTAAATGCTTGTAGTGTATAATTAAATACAAGTAAACACTGTAGTAGTCAGGGCCACAATATAATTGGATCCTATAATAGCATCGGAGCATGTTGGTGTAAAAGTATATAATGCATACGTGTCTCCAAGGTCGGTGGTGAGCATGTATGCATTATACTAAATTTCATCGAATTTGACAAATGATATAACCTTCAAATTAAAAGCTCCACTACAGCTTTACAAAACGATCCTCTCTTCATGCATCGTTTTCAAAAAGGCATTATCCTTTTTTGCCCAGTGCAGACCACAGCTGCTTCTGTCCACACCAGTATTCCTTTCCCTTTAATAACAACCCCAACTACAAACAACTAAAATAATACCCAACATACCAAATAACAACTCCTCCTAGTTGAGTTTTACTCTAAAAAGCCTCAGATAATATTTCACTGGTAATTTATTGTGCAAGATATTTTAGCTGACATAAAAACCGAGTCAGCGTGTCAGCTGTTTCTGAGATACCAGTCGGGATCTGTTTCTTCTTATTGTCCGTTACTTAGGACAGACTTGACAGACTTGACAGAATCAAATGGAAACCAGAATGAGGTCTCCGAGAGATACTCATGTCGTGGTGCAAAGGAAAGGCCTCTTATTAAGACACCTCTTCCCTTAGGCTTTGCTGTGGAAATGAAATGAAATGCTTCACATTTTGAATGTCAGCTATAAGGAAACCTCCAGGAAGGGCAGGAAAAAAACTGTTCCTTGCAGTTTAGCCAGAAGGGAAAAAATGGTTTAGAGCTGCATTGTGTGAAATAAGACATTTAAGTTGATTTTTTTTATCACAATTTTGCACGCGACACAATGTGATTCATTTTCTTTAATTAAATGCAAGCAAAAGCAAGCAAGTGTAAAACACAGGCCTCACAGGTTGTACAGAAAACAGAAGCAATAAATCTGACCTACTTCAGTCAGACAACAATCATCTGTCGTGCAGTCAGCCATCAAACATCACAAGAAAAAAAAAAAAAAAAAATCCGAGCAGACTTGTTCAAGATGGCTGTCTGTTGGCTGTTTTTAGCATGTTGACTGTAATCTCTGAGAAAAAAAAAAAAAGTTATCAGTGCAGAACAGATTTGAACCGCAGTCAAACCCACACTTGTGATGTACCGAAGTTATGCCTTAGCACATTCTTCCTTTGCTGGTGGTTTGACCTTTATCACCCTTGGAATGATCCGTCTCTGTTCTTTTAACCTCCGCACTGACCTGTTGTTGTTGAATTCATTTCAATTTTTTTTTTTTTTTTTTGTAGCTCTGCGTTGAAGAAATCACATCATTTCAAGGCTTTGTTCCGTCTGTCATGAAAATGAAAAGATGTGCCTCATTGCCCGTTTGAAAGATTTGAAACAAATTATTAATAACTGTGACAACAAATAAAAGCGAAAAAACATTTTCTCATTAAGCAACCGCTCCACAATAAACCAATCCTTTTAAACACATTAAAAATGAAGGGAAACATCAAAAGCAGATCTCCACATGATGCTCTCCCGGAAAACAAAAGTGTCGACCACAAAAGGTGGAAATACGTAATGACAAACAAGAATATAATGGCATATTTCAGAAAGACAGAAAGACATTAGGATTATTGGCGTGATTTATCTCTGTCTAGTTGCAGAAAAACATTTGCTCGTGGGAGGACGTGAGTGATGAGGATGGCATGTACGAGACTTTCCCAGCTGCTGTTAGGAGACGAACGTTTCTGAGCAGAAAATGGAAAATGCTTCAACATCAATGAAAACAATTAATATGCTTATTTACAGTAATCAAAGTGGTAATTTATTCAGCGTGTTTGTAGATGCGGGTTTGGGTCAAACGACATGAGAGGTCAGACACAAATGTAAATGAAAGACGTTGTAAAGCGTGTAATCATTATCCCTTTTATTTAACAGGTTTCAATGGCGACATCCTCTACTCGCTGATGGATTCTACCGATGGCTATTTCTCCATTGACGAGCACACTGGCGTCGTAAGCCTGGAGCGTCTCCTCGACCGTGATGTCCAGTCTGTGCATGAGCTGAAAGCCCGCGCAACTGACCAGGGTTCACCGCATCTTACCGCTCTCTGCCAAGTCATCATCACTGTGCTCGACATAAATGACAATCCACCAGTGTTTGAGCACCGTGAGTACACCGCCACAGTGTCTGAGGACGTAGCCGTGGGGACGCAGGTGATCAGAGTACAGGCAACCAGTCGGGACACGGAGGCCATTGGAGAAATCTCCTACAGTATCATCAGTGGAAACGAACATGGACTGTTTAGTGTGGACCCTCATACTGGTAATTATCAGCTAAGTGTGGGATTTTTTTTTTAAATTTCTTTAACAATGTCGCAGTGGAATAATAATAATAAAAAAAAAAAAAAATCGACATCAACATCTGCCAAACTGCTACATTGTTGTCGGGTCTACACAGTCTGCATTCCTCTCTCATCGCAGATCTTGGCTGCACGCCTACAGCCATTAGGGATAAAAATGGCAGTGTCCTTAGGCAGTTTCTGACACCATAGCTTGTGTTGACATTTTATAAAATAAAGAAGCTGCGCATTTAAAAACCATATTTTGTTTTAGACTGGAATGTCTCACCGCAGAGCAACAGATGAAAAATGTAGACAGTGTACTGCGGTGTTTTCCTAGCCATAGGCTCAATGTTGGGCGTTCAAAGGCAGATCAGAAACAGTTGAAAATTTTGTTTTGATATATTTGAATTACTTTATAGGGGGCTATCATAATGATTAACCTTGATTAATTGAGATTTAAACCACTCACAATTCAGATTCAGACTGCAGTGTCTAAAGACAGAACAAAATAATGCAGACAATTTACCACAGTCTTTTCCTCACCTGAAGCAGTCTTATTTCAAAAGCAAATCAGAAAAAACTAAAAACATTGATATTTGAATTAGGGCTTTCAAAAAAAAAATTGTGATTAATTAATTGCAATTATTTTCAATGATCAAGTTGTATCATGGTTGATCAATGTTTTGTCAACATTCAAATCAAAAACTTCTTGCAGCATTGTGTGCAAATAACATGTCTATTAAGTCTGTGAGTAAATCGAAGATTGGCGCTTAATTTTGCCCGTGCTTTAAAATTCAAAAAAACTTCAACCGGTTAACTTTACAAATTAAGCAATGCGGATAACGCAACTATTTTGACGGCTTTTTACCTAATATATGTAGCATAAGGTTAAGCATATTCAAGCTCTAAGTTGTTGGTAGTTCCAGACCAGACTGTGCAGTTCTTTTTTTTTGTTTGTTTTCTTTTCACATCTCCGTTTCCCCCTTGGTGTTGTTGAGTAAAAAAAAAAAAAACAAGATACATTGTCCTGATTCTGTAATATTTACTGTTATGTGACAATAATTTCTCTGCCGCTCTGTCCCCAGGTGACATCTTTGTACTGGAGCCGTTGGACTACGAGGTCTCCCACGAATACTACATCACCATTGAGGCTACAGACGGAGGCTCCCCGCCGCTCAGCGATATGGCCACTGTAAACATTAACTTGACTGATGTCAACGACAACAGCCCTGCCTTCAGCCAGGACGTCTACACAGCTGTCGTCAGTGAGGATGCAGAGCTGTGAAAGACCGTGATAGTGGTAAGAACATTTTTTTTTTTTTTTTTTTATATGCAACAAATGACACCACTGCCTGTGGTGTCATTTGTCACATGGCCGTCATAACTTTTACCTCAGCTGTGTCATTCCATTCACCTTCTCATTCCGTTCTCCATGTATGAATAATGTATCGGGTGTGTGCACCTGTGCTAAATCACCATCTGGTCGCTCGGCGAAATGAGGATCAGTGCTCTTCGTGCTCACCGCATCTCTCTTCTCGCGCCTTATGTGACACACATGTTCACGTTGTTTTAATTAAAAGGCGTTTGACTTATTACGGCCCAATCTTCAATGAGACATTTTTCTCTCCTTTTGTGTGTAAATCCCCCCCCACCCCCGCCTCCCCACATCTGTTCCTGTGTTCCTCTGCTCCCTCCGTTTCCCCTCATAAAAGCTCATTTACCTGCTTTCTTCAAAGAGCCTGAATGGAATTTCTCATCAAATTAGACGCCTGCCATTGTGTGATACCTTTAAATCCTCACTGTCTGTTGATTTCCCAGGGGAGTGCTTTCAGTCTGTGTCAGTTGAAAACTGTTATTCCCACAGGCAGGTGACGTAGGCATCTTCAGACGAACGTGTCCGTCTGTCTGTTTTTTCGACAGGAACAATCCTGTGGTGAAGCAGTGCTTTAGAAGAAGAGGTTCCTAGTGGCCATTGATATGAATGGGTATTGATAAGAAGCGAATGTTTGTGGTTCCATTATCGATTTGATTCCTGACCAATATATCAGCGTGTTATATGATTTTGGAAAACATAAAAACACAGGCTAACAACTCCTCTGCATAAATCAACACATTGATATTAAACATACCTTCAGTGATCAACCATCGCTAATTAACATTTTTTTTAAGAACAACCATTGATATGAATGGGTATTGATAAGAAACCAAGTGGATACAGTACCTGAGGCATGATTCATACACTGTAGCAGGGGTTCACCAACTTTATTTGTCCAAAGGGCCAGAATCTTTCAGGACAGACACATTGGCAGCTGGATACTCAAATAAAATGAAATTAAAAATCAACCCTATTTGATGTCTATTTTGGAATCCATTCGTGGACCAGATTGGATGGTGCGATGGCCCCAGCACAAATATGCTATCAAGTAATTGAATTGTTTGGCAAAATCATTAGGCAAGCAATCTAATGAGTCCAAGGGAACGTACGATTAGAAACTGTTTCTCTACAAGAACTGGTGTCTGAATTCCCTTCCGTTGTCACTGACATGTTTTTATTTATTTTATTCACATTGATGAAATTATTGACATGTTTTAAAAAGTAATTTTGTCATTAGATGAAATGCCGGTTTAAATCTGTCTTCAAAACTTCAAAGCTGAATTATTGACTTGATACTTGTTTCGTCACTTAATTCAGCTTTTTGTCAAGAAAGTGGAGAACATGGAGAGAAAAAAAAAACAAGACACCATAAACAGAGTTGAACACGTCTGTTGTAAATGTGTAAATGACATTCAGTGACATTATCAGAGATGAGTCATTGGAGGCATTTATAAGAGATGAAGTATTGATTATTGGGTTTGTTTTTTTTTTTTTTGATTAGGTGATGGCTGAGGATCTTGACGGACCTTCCTACGATCACGTCCGGTTCTCCATCGTGGAGGGAAATCAAGGCAGTCCCTTCACCATCGATCCGGTCAGGGGGGAGCTGAGAGTAGCTCGCCTGCTGGACAGAGAGAGGGTAAGGGGAAAATGGCCAACGTGCTGCTGACTGTACACAGAAGCTGTAATCCACCAAAGAAACTAATTGCACTCTATGCAGAATCCAATCGGAGTCGTGTCAGGCCTTGTTTATACACCTCTGCTGTATATCTGCTTAGAAAAGCAGCTTTTTCCCCCCCCTCACGTGAACTCATTTTGTCTCTCTCTCTCTCTCTCTCTCTCTCTTTCAGACTTCGGGCTACACTCTGACCGTGGCTGCCGCCGACAACGGGTTGCCCCCCCTGTCCAGCACCGCCCAGATCAACATTGACATCTCTGATGTCAACGACAACCCGCCGCTTTTCTCGCAGGCAAACTACAGTCTCATCATCCAGGTGTGAGGGGGCAGTGGTCTGTGTGGGGAGAATGAGAAGGAGGTGGATAGAG